TCTCAGCCATCCTGGACGTCCGAGGCCTTCAAAACCAAGCCCAGCGCCAAGATATCTTGGCAGCGATGGACAGCCTGGAGGTCACAGATGGTGAGGAACCTCCCTGCCAAGACCGAGCCTTCTTCACAGAGATCCCCACCAGCGAAGTCTTCTGTGTCCAAGTCCAGCTGCACCGTATCTCGCACCTGGGTCTCTCCTGCCTCTCCAGGCTGCGCCCGAGGTCCAGGCGTCAGCAGCGGCGGCGGCGGCAGAGGCAGCGGCCGAAAGATGTCAGCGAATCGCAGGTGTGAGAACATTTGGAAATCCAGACTTCCTCTCTCGGACTCTAGGTTTTGGGGTGGGTAGCGGCATAGTGGTTTGAGTGTTGGATTGGGATTCTGGAGACCAGGGTTCGAATCCTGGCTCGGCCTTGGAAATCCACTCGGTGACCTTGGGCAAGTCACACTCTCTCAGCCTCAGGGGAAGGTAACAGCAAACCCTTTCTGAACATTGCTTGCCAAGAAAATGCCATGATAGTTTCACCACCTTGGGGGTGCCAGAAGTTGGAAATGACTCGAAGGTATGCCATAATAACAACTAAAACTTCAGAGCCATTGATTGTGGGGTTGGCACTGCAAAAAAGGGAGAATATGACCATGCTACAAACACATATGCATCCGCTCTTCTATCTTTGCTTTTGTACTCAGCAAGGAACACCCCAAGAGTGGATTTACCTTCATTGCTGTTCCAAAATAGCGAACACCTTGGCTAACAGGGAAAAAGGACACACAAACACTCATATAATAGCAAAGAAAGTGCCACTTTGAGAAATGCATCTTGTCTATCCTGTGCAGAGGGTCTCAATGCCATAACGTAACCCTTTCTTAAACAATACCTTAGAAAAGAGGGTAAACAATGGATGTCAAAGTAAGGGATGGTTCACCCCATTTCCACTCAGGCTGCATCTACACTGCAGAATTAATGCAGTTGGACACTGCTTTAACTACCCATGGCTCCATCCTATGGCACCCTGCGATTTGTAGTTTGCAAATCTACAAATTTACAAATTTGTAGATTTGCAAATCTACACATTTACACATTTGTAGATATGCAAACTACAAATTTACAAATTTGTAGATTTGCAAATCTACACATTTACACATCTGTAGATACGCAAACTACAAATTTGCAAATTACCATAGAGGCGGCAAAACTATAAGTTTGCACATTATCATAGAGGTGGCTAAGTTGCTCACAAAACTAAAAATCTCAGCATTCCATCACCTGGAGCCATGGATAGTTAAAGTGGTGTCAAACTGGATTAATTCTGCAGTGTAGATGCAGCCTCAGTCCCTCCTCTCAGGGAACCAGGGAAGTGGATGAGTGGGGCTGGAAGAAAGAGGAGGAAGTACATACCTGTCCTGTAAATAAATAAATAAAATAAAATAAAATAAAATAAAATAAAATAAAATAAAATAAATGCATATTAATTTAACCACATTCTTTCTTGTGTTCATTGGGGATGGGGATTAGGTTTTGTCTGCCTTAGGTGAGGTAATGGACAGGACCAAAGAGTTAGCACCGCTGCATGAACATTTGCAACGGGATTCAGCCACTGTTAGTTTGTTGGAGGAATGCATGGGATCTGTTTGTATTTTGGAGATCCAGCTTGGCGTAGTGTTTTAAGTGTTGGAATACAACTCTGGAGACCCAGGTTTGCTTCCCCACTCAGCCATGAAACTCACTGGGTGACCTTGGGCAAGTCACACTCTCTCAGCCTCAGGGGAAGGCAATGGCAAACCTCCTCTGAACAAATCTTTCCATGAAAACCCCATGATGGGTTTGCCTTAGGGTCAGCGTGAGTCAAAAACAACGTGAAGGCACACAACAACAAGTTTGTAACCAGGTTCACGAAACATTATTGTGTACTTTCTTTTCATCCTTCACAATTCAAATTTGCAGAGGAGTGGCGCTATCTCTAAACAAAATTAAGGATTCTAGTCCTGTGGAAGGGTCACAGGAATCACAGAATCTGGAGAGGAGCAAAAACAAGCAAGAGTTCCAGAGCTGCAAATGCTCTACATTAGCGTTTATCATAGGATCCTAGAGTTGGAAGAGACCCCAAAGGCCATCTAGTCCAACCCCATTCTGCCATGCAGGAACTCAAAATCAAAGCATCCCCATTGACAGATGGCCATCCAGCCTCTGTTTAAAATGGTGGGTGCCTCCCGTGTGATAAAGTCCTCTGTGAATGAAAACCTACTGGACTCATTCAGGATTAACTAGCCACGCAATAATGGCTTTTGCTTGTGCAATTATTGGGAAATAGGAAAAGACGCAAGCTCAGACCATCTTTATCTCATTCTCCGCCATCGACTCTGATCCCAGGAGAGTTTCATAAAGTGTCGTGAAAGATAGCAAGCCCTTCATGCCAGTGGGGCTTCCCCACACTGCCCCATATCTCCTCCAAATCATATCAAATGGTGGGATCTGAGCTGGAGGAACAGCCCAGCCTAATGAGTTTCCCATCCCGGCCGCTTCTTAATTGCTCTCTTGCAGTTTCCTTCCTCTGGGCTCCACTGGAGCCATGGCCAAAAGCCAATTGGGGATGAGGAGGAGAGAAGGGCAAGGTGGCAAGCAAGGGATTGTGCTTCGGCCGCTTTCCCCTTCCCCATAGTGAGGACCCGATCTATTTGGGGGCCTGACTCACAGGAAAAAGAGTTTGCTGCCTTTTCACTATGCCCCAAATCTCCAACTGTCCTGATTTGGTAAGAATAGTCACTATTAATCCTCTGCCTTCCCATGTTTTCTTCTCCTTTCTAAAGTGTCCAGGTTTCTCTCCTCCTCTTCCCATCTTCCCCTTTTGTCCTCAGCTTATTCCCATTGCTGCAAAATGAGTTCAAAGTGCAAAAGTAACTTGTTTTCAGTTAACTCAGCAGAGGGGAGAAGAGAGGAAGGGGGCAGAATAATGTCCTTCCAGAAGGCTCAAGAAATTATGGTGCTTTCACCTGGGCAAATGGCTCAAGCAGAGGAATTCAGCCCCTGGTTCCCTTCCTTCTTTCCTTCTTGGTTTTAATTTTATACTTGACACTCAATATCCTTTGGTTCCTGAGTCCAGAGAGTTCTGGGAATTGCAGACCAAAAAGATGCAAAGATTGTTGTCCCTTTCAGTGTGTGTGTGTGTCCCAGGATTCATAAGATGGAGCTACAACACTCAAAGAGGGGGCAAAGCTGCATTATTTCTATAGTGTAGATGCACCCATAAGTCACCCATAAGTCAAAGTCGATGGCAAATAACAACAAATGTGTGTGTGTTTAGCTGGGTAAAACCTGGGTCCCAGAAAAAAATACCGTACCAAATAAACACTGTTGTCTTTCTATATTCACAGATGCTTTATCCATGGATTCAAGTATCCATGGCTTGAAAATATTTAAAAAAATATATACATTCCAAAAAGCAGACCTTGATTTTGCCATTTTATATAAGGGAAATCATTTTAGTATCAACTGTATTTAATGGGTTCTAGGACACCCCCATGAATACTAAAATCCACAGATTTTAGTATTCATGGGGGTGTCCTAGAACCAAACCCCAATGGATATACATATACATATACATATACATATACATATACATATACATATACATATACATATACATATATATATCCGTGGGGCAGGGTGTCCTTCTCCTGGAGCCAGGTCTCCAAGTCAGGCAGGGTCTTTATTGGGAGGCTTTGGAAAGCGACTCTGGTGGCTTCCAGAAGAAGCAAGCCAACAAAATCACTCTGCTTTTACAGAGCCTTGCCTTGATGGTCAAGAGCAGGGGTAGGCAACCTTTTTGAGCCGGGGGCCGGGTTGTTGTCCCTCAGACAATTGGGGGGGCCTAAGCACCAAAAATAAACAAATAAATAAATATATAAATAAAAAAATATATGCATGCACACTCTCTCAGCCCCAGAAAAGCCATGGTAAAACCCCTGTGGAGATTTTGCCAAGAAAACCCCAAGAACAAGTAATAACAACAATAATCAATATTATCATGGTGGGCAGTGGCAGCAGGACCAGCCTGGAGCCGGTCCAAAGGCCTCAGGGGGCCGCATCCGGCCCCCGGGCCTTAGGTTGCCTACCCTTGGTCAAGAGAGCTTTCCATGTCGTGCTACAATTCAGCAATGAGGCATAAAAGGTGCACATTTTGGAACGGCGCGACCTGACACGGCACATTGCAGTGGCTCGGTCTTGCTTTTCCGTAATAATAATAATAATAATAATAATAATAATAGTAATAATAACAATAACAACACTCTGGCCATGGCCATACAAATCCGCAGTCCTCCAGGGATGTCTCCAGTCACGCCGCCGCATCCCCTATCAATCCCTCTCTGTCCTGACCTGTCCAGTGCACCCTCCCGAAGTAAACACCAGCGGGAAAAGGCCAGGCCATTTATCCTGCAAGATGTAAACTCTCCTGATGGCTGAAGAATGAGCCAGGCCCTGCGGTCAGCCTCTCGCTGCCAATACTGACCCCTCCAGGGACCGCTTGGCGGCCGCCTTGTGTCAGGAAAGCAGCACTTGTCCTCACCGTAGGCGGCTTTTCTTGGAATAGTCACTGCCCTCTCCTCTCCGGCCATTAAAAAAGAAATGGAAACCTGGGGAGGGGGGAAATGTCTGTTCCTGAACCAAAGGCATTTTGTGACACTCTGCTCCAAAACTACAGTCTCTCATGCCTTCCAACATTTTGCAGATGAAAACCAGGACACGTGTGGTCAAGCGGCATCAGAGTGTGGTCAAGATGGCCAAAGTTATGGAAGAGGAAGGACCAAGAGAAGATGCAGCTGTTGGCTTTTCCTTGATCCTCCTGGGAAGGGCAAGATTCCTTTCCTCTC